TTCCAATTGCAAACTCTCAGGAAAATATTATAAATGTTCGAACAGTGTTTTGAAAAAATATTTTATGCAATATCACGAATATTAATAATTTTAAACTATTTACTGATTTTCTTTAAAACTTGTAACGTTTTTAAAATCTCACCGTTAAATAACTGTCGAAACTATTAACGATCCGATTATAAAACCGGTACATCGATAAGCTTCAGCGTTTCAACAATTATCGCTGCGCGAACCCGATTAAAAAACGAACAATAATACACTTGAATTTCACTCCTCGTAAGATGCACATGTCAGACGTTTTTTAGCGACATTTATCGATAGATAACGATTGCTAGATACGTTGCATTTCAAAAGATTGCTTCGTAATATATTCCACTGAATGAAAGATTATAGATCAGGAAGGATCGACGTGAAAAATAATTATATTTCCAATCCACGATTATCGAATTTAACTATTCGATAGCATGAGAAATTTCAATCCAACGCGATCCATATTTACAAACGCCAAAACAATCCGTCGATTTACGCCGATAAAAAAGCAAAAATATCACTCTTTACGAAAAAGATACAAAACACGAGAAAATGGACTCAAATGTGGAATGTTATTTGTTAATTTTGAATCTTAATTACGTAACGTTGAGGTTTAGACAATTTTAATATTCTGAAATATTGAAAGTTTGAGTGTCCTTGTGTGTTTGACAAAAGCCCACGTAAAAAGCGATTAAACAGTGTTCGAAATGTAACGATCGTGGGTTCTCGAGATGTACGTTAATCTTATCGAGCCATTCGGATCGAGAGTTCTTATCGAGAGAACTCGCCACTGTGCGCGTAGCGTGGCACAAAAATTCTCAACCTGACCTGATATGTATATCACAAGAACTCGCGATAGCGACAAAACCATTGAAAACTAGATCTCGTCGTTATCTCGAGATGCTTCTACGGATCTACGAAGGTAATTGCAACGATCGTCTCATTTGTGTGAAATTCTCGATCCGCCATTAAATCCAGTTTTCATCATGAATTCCCGGTCCGTTAATTGGCCTCGCGATCGTAATGACTTCGAAATCCATTTTAATTCCGAGCAAAAGCCGAACGTTAAACGTTAAACGCGTCGATCATTATTTTTATTTTATTTCCCATAGAAAATTGTCGATATATTTTTCAAATTTTTTTTATTTGCATCGAAGTATTAAGAGTATTATTTTCTGTAATCCTAGTCTAATTTTCGCGGTGGATAAATCACGCGCTTTCGATTTACCGGACTGGATTTATTTCGTATGCTGAAATCTGTGGTATTAATTCATAAATTCCGATATTTTTATCGCGTAAACACCCTACTATCGTTTTCAGTAAATTATTAACAACTACGGATTGATAATAATTCTTCTATACAGTTTTGCACGTGTTATGAATTAGGGGGAGTCTGGGTTGAAACACAGCTTCTGATGAAAGTTGGAATAAATCGTTCAGGCTGTCGAAATTCGTGCTTTTTACAGCAGAAACAGCTCGTGACGTTTCAAATTTTTCGAAGAAACTTTTAATTCTGGCTTTCGAAATTTGTGCTTTTTACATCGAAAACAAACCATCTCGTCGTTAGGTGGTCGATTTCATCAAGGAATTGCGGAGAGTGGTCATCTCGAAGAAAAGTAATTTACCAATGTGCGGTAATGTCCGATAAAATCACAGTTTTATGCACAATAGTTCGTAAAAGGCATGCACTTATCGCAATAGTAAATCGTATTAGCTCTTATGCGACTAACTCATACAGGGTGTCCCGTAAATAGTGTAAGAACCGGAAATGGAGGGTAGCAGAGACGATTCTGAACAACAAATTTCCTTTGCAAAAATGTCGGATGGGGCTTCGTTTTTGAATTATTAACGAAAAACACTGACCAATACGTTTGAAATTTTATCTACGCGCGGTTCACCGTCGGAGTTTGTTACTATCGACGAGATAAAATATTTATGAAATCTGTTACTAGCCATACAAGGGGATGCAAAAAACGAGAGATTATTTGTTAGAATCGCAATTAAAACGACATTGAGATTAGGAAAACACTTGTACTGTTGAACCATCGACTTCAGATCGAAAGAAAAAGCTTCGTGTCTGACTTTCGTATTTATTTGGATTTATTAAATTTTTATAATTTACTCTTAGTAAAGGGGTTGAAAGAAACTAAAGAAAATAGAGTTTGCAATGAGTAGACTGCGGATCTTTATGCAAATTCACATTTTTATTAATAGAATTAATGAAACGGAAGCTTCGCAGAGGGCTGTTTCAACCCCTAAATATAATAATTCGTATCTTACTTTAAGTATATCTTATATTTTTCCATATTAAATGCATTCTGTAGTTTTATGAGGATTAAAATTTCCCATAAATGCATAAACATCCGCAGTCTAGTAATGAGTATGTTTGCAGAAAGTTTTCATTCTTTACGATCAATTGGATATACTGAGATAGGGAATAAATTAAATTTTTATAATTTACTCTTAGTAAACGGGTCTAAAAGAAAGAAGCTAAAGAAAATAGAGTTTGCAATGAGTATGTTTGCATAAAGTGTTCATTCTTTACGATTAATCTTCTTAGGTATACTGAGGTAGGGAATAACAGAAGAAGAAATTATTTTACTAATACAATCTTTCGTTATATAGTGTTATACTGTTATTGCAAATCAAATATGTGACGTTATTGTTGAGAGTATGAAAAGAGAACGTATAGTGTGGAATTGGTATGCCACGTTTAGGTCTGGAGATATCGACGTTCAAGATGAAACTAAGTCAGGACGATCGACGATCGGTGACAACGATTCGAAGATCTTAATCGTCAGTACACGCGTCGAATAGACAGAGAATTACTAGATAAGATGAAGACATCACGATCTACAGTTTGTTGAGGCTTAGAAAAACTGGGAACAAGGGCTCCATACAGTTTGACGAAGCAAAACAAGGCTATTTTGCCAACAGAAATGAACCACGTTTGAGTGAACTTATTACTAGAGAGGGCAAATTAATCACGAAGATATTTGAAAAATAAAACAGTGGGCAGATGAAGATCAACGATCTCAGTCAGAATTTAAAAAAAGATTCTTTCGTGGTTTTGGTGGAATCTAAAAGGAATAATTCATCGCGAGAAGCACAGTAAAACAAGCAAGAATTTTGTAGTTAGGGAGACCTTACCCAATATCCATAAGTTTTCGATTAGATTCAAATCCGAACTTTATGCCATTTTAATAACATATTATATTAGTATTGTATATTATAATAATATATGTATATTATTGCTTCTGTTATGTAATAAACTATAATAGATAATAAACGAATATGTCAAGTTTTTCCTTCAAATCAATTTGTTTAGTAGTTATAAGCATTTGTGCTACTATAACCATGCTGTGCCAATACTTTGGTCCACTCATAAAATGTTCAATAAATACATTTTTGTTACTGTTTTGTGAATCAATGTATTTATATTATTGCTATTGTTATTATATAACATTGATTACTGTAGTATTGATACTATATATTATATTAATATTATACGTTATTGATATTGATATTTGATCATAGTATTTATATTATCTATATGTGTACATTATTGCTTGTGTTATTTAATAAACTATAATAGATAATAAACGAATATGTCAAGATTTCCTTCAAATCACTTTGTTTAGTAGTTATAAGCATTTGTGCTACCACAATCATGCCGTGCCAATACTTTGGTCCACCCATAAAATGTTCAATAAATACATTTTTATTATTGTTTTGTGAATCAATGTATTTATATTATTGATATTATATAACATTGATTACTGTAGTATTGATACTATATATTGTAAGCAACCTTTAGGTTTGTAATGAATGAGTGCAGTTATACTATGTGAGAGTTTCGATTAAAGGCATTGCCGACTATGTGTGTGTGTTTCGCGTGAAGTATGCATTTAGAAGTTGTTCATTTTATTAGTTAATCGTTTGTTAATAATAATTTAGTTAGTTACATTCGAGTCAGCTTTCTGTACAAACCATTCAATTAAGATATTAAAGGGAAAATACATATCTTACAATATTATATTAATATTATATATTATTGATATTGATATCTGATCATAGTATTTATATTATCCATATATATACATTATTGCTTCTGTTATTTAATAAACTATAATAGACAATAAACGAATATGTCAAGTTTTTCCTCTAAATCAATTTGTTTAGTAGTTATAAGCACTTGTATTACCATAACCACTACCTATGTAGGTACAATGGTGGACATAAGTATTGCCACAGCATGGTTGTGGTAGCACAAATGCTCATAACTACTAAACAAATTGATTTGAAAGAAAAACTTGTTGACATACTCATTTATTATCTATTTTAGTTTATTACATAACAGAAGCAAGAAAATTTTCTGTTTCAACAAGACAATGATCCAAAACATACCATATATATTGTAAAACAATGGATCATATACAACGTTCCCCAAATTTCAGAAACACCCCCTCAAAGTCGGGACATTAATACCATAGAACACTTATAGACAGAAATTGGCAGACAATTTTGGAAATTTCGAGTAATATAAAAGAAGATATTACTGAAAATTTAGTCGACAGCATGCAACAGCGTTTACAAGCTGTGTCAAGTGCTCATGGTGGCCCAACAAAACATTAAAACACTACATTTATTTAAAATCTCTATTTTGAATTTAGTCGTTCTCACCAAGGAATGTTTCATACCCGAGTGTTGATATCATCAAAGGCACTTGAAATTTAATATATGTAATCGTGATTCCTATATACTCTTCCAGAAATGAAAGTATTTCGTAATTCATAATACGACTCGGTATCTTTTAAGCTCCATACTTTTTATTTCGTAGCGTTCGAATACTTTCGTGACTCACTCTGTGTCATTTGCCCGCTTAATTTCGAGCGGCTGTTGCTCAGCGTGGCAAAATCGCGTCCCGTCGGGTCGCGCAAAAAACGGCGACGAAGCATCCTCGCTCTTACCTTCTAGGTTCTTGTTCCTGGCGAGCAGGGCCAGCAAGACGTCCTGGTTCGGGGCGGCCTCCGCCAGATCGGCGTCCTGGTGCGCGGCAGGCAGCGACGGCCCTAATGGCGGCATGGTGTTGCCCGGTGGTCGAGTCATCATCACGGGCGCGGACCCCAACGGCGGCAGTGGCAGCCCCGCGGCCGGATGATGAAGGGGATTGTGCGTGGGCGGCGGCGGCGGAACACTGCTGGCCAGCGTCGGAAGCGTCGCGACCGGCTGCACCGCCGCTGACATCGACAGATCGACGCCACCCAACAGCACGGGACGACACCCGCCTGAACCTGGCCCGCTGCTCACCGCCGGGAGGATTCCGCCACCCCCCGGCAGTGGTGCGTACGGCAAGTACAGCTCCAGTCTAAGACCAGTAAGCACCAATCGCGAGAACAACCAACGATGTCTGGACTATCCCCGACCGCTCGATAGACTGCAACTATCCTCCGTCAAATTGATGTCTAGCACCTTTATCCCCTTGCTTCCAACGTCTCGACGATGGTAAGGTTGGAGGTGTTCTTCTAGGGTCTCGATAGACGATAGAATCGGTAGGTCCAATTCACCCCGCACTTTTCGAATCACTCTCCCGATCCTCGCGCTCCGAAGCCTTCCAACGTTTGAACGATGGTGAGGTTGGAGATGTTATTCTTCCAGGGTCTCTCGTCCTTTCGTTAACGCTAATTTCGTCGTGTCTATGATTCCTTCACCGACGATAGAATCGGTAGGTCGAGTTCACCCCGCACTTTCCAAATCACTCTCCCGATCCTCGCGCTCCGAAGCCTTACAACGTTTGAACGATGGTGAGGTTGGAGATATTATTCTTCCAGGGTCTCTCGTCCTTTCGTTAAAACGAGATTCTCCACCGAGAACCAGAGCTCACTCCGCACTTTCCAAACCACAAGGACGCGTCAAGAAGATCCTGAATTCGAGCGAACGTTCGTCGGTTTTTTCCCCCCAATATCGTCGAAACAAAAAAAAAAAGAGTTCGTGTCTCTTTATCGATCGATCGTCCAAAGTTCCCCGACCGTAATCTGGTCACGAGAGGCTTACGCTTTCGTCACCTAACGATCACTTTGTCTCTTTTGGTTGAACGTTCGCGTATCGGTGGTGCCGTGGCGCCCGACAACGTCTCTGTTCCGCGGATCACTGAGCGTGGCGAACGAACGCTTGCGAATGTTTACGAGCGCCGCTGCCACCGGCCGCGGCTGAATGGCTTGTTTGTAAATAGTCCCGACCGCGGTCCCGCGAGAAGAAAAGCCACCGCGATTTACCCGCTCGAAACGAAAGACGCGGCCTCCTGCGCGCGTGGTTCGCGCGTTTACGCGCCGTCCTCGATCATCAGCCAACCCCCAACGTATCACCGAACGCCCCCTTCGATTCATCCACCCTTCCGCGAGGGTGTCTTCGCGATCGTCCACAAATTTCCAAAGACTCGACGACTCTACGATCGGAGATCTCGACGCCTTATCGAGGCCCCCTTGTCTTGGTTATGACCATAACCTTGGTTACGCGACGCTCCGATCGTCGATTTTACCTTATCGCGCTGTACAGTTTCGATCTTCTTCGATGTCCCTCCGTGGTGTGCTCCTTTTTACCCTTCGATCGGATCGAGAAAAATCGGCACACCACGAACGCGAAGCCTTTGTCACAGGCACCTTGGAACCAGAACGAGGAGGACGCGACGGACACATTCGACGAACGAAGATCACCAAGATACGGAGTTTGGTGGCTTTGTTCTATCCTCTAACGTTCCTCTTCCACGTTCGATCGGCAACGGGCGGCCGTGGTGGTGTTTTTGCACGCGCGTCGATGGAAATGCAGCCCCGGGTCCGATGTAAATCCCGAATGCCAATAGAGAGAAAAACTCAATGAATCACGGGAGCAGCGATACTTTCGTACGATCCTCTGACCGTTGCCGGACTTCTTCTCGGCCCGAATGCGCCGGACCGCGCCGACCGGTAAGAAACGCCGAATTCCACGGCCGTCGAATCGCGATTTTCGTCCCGCCACGCTCTCCTTTTGTTTTTTCCCTCGCATCGGGTGGAGCAAACCCGTCCGGATCGGCCCGTCATCGGTGGACGATCGCGCCCATCCAGCGACGATTATCGAGCTTTTCTCGGTAATCTATCAAATTCCCCGCGTACGGTGAATCAATCCTCTTCTTTCGCTCGTGCACAGATTATACATGTATCGTTCCAAGGATCGCACTGTCGACTCAACCGTCCACCGGCACTGTTCGAATCCACGTTTCCCGCTGCGTGTCGCGCGCGAGAGTCACTCGAAACATCTCAAATTCGATCGTCCGGCCGTCGAATCGCGGTGAGTCGTTCCCGACCGAACGAAGGTCGGCGAGTGTCTTTCGAGAGCCGACGATAAGTTTAACCGGTGATCGACGGAGTAGGGGACACTTGTCGCGAGATCTCGGGGAATGTACGATTTGATTAGCGGGTACCGCGGCACTATGGAGCCGGGTTCGCGGGGTTCCCGGCTTCAGCGTTGAGGATCAGAGACCCGGAGGGACCAGGAGGGACGTTGGAGGGACGCATAGAAAGGTGGAGGTGGCTCTGAACGTTCTGTGAAACCGTGTGCATCGCCCTGCCGGAGGAGAGGCTTTCACCCTACCATCGACGGCCACCACCGAGCCGTCTAGCACCAGGCATTCGTAACGGCGCGGGGTGGGGAGGGGGGAATGTTCTGGTGGGGTATCGATGTTGGCACGCTTGCGCCGCAACCTGTCGTCCCTCGTGCGAGAAACAGCGCGGGGGACACCCGGATCGTCGCGTTAGAAGATTTTGGAATGATTTGCGGTACGTGACACCGAATCGAATGGAAACACCAACGTGAAAAAACTCTGTAAAATGTTGCGTCGCCTTCCCGCGCGATCATCCAATATTTAAAGGTTAGATTTCGCGAGCGAAATTGACCCGAACCAGGCGCTGTTGCTTCCCACTGTGTCCTCCATTACGAACCATTTCGATTGTTTTGCGATATTTTAAATGGGGGAAAAATACTAGTATTTTATATTTGCACCATTTTTACTTTGAAATGCATAAATTTAGATATTGTGTGAAATTGCGAAAAATACAACATTTATGAAATGTGATATCCTCCATTATGGCTGTTCGAACCATTTGGGTTGTTTCGGTTTAAATAAACACAATGTTCGACGTTCTTTGAAATTTTTTTGGAAAGACACTAGTACTTTCTACTAGCACCATTTACATTCAAGTATGTAAATTTAGATATAGTGTGAAATTGCGAAAAATACCACATTTATGAAATGTGATATCCTCCATTATGGCTGTTCGAACCGTTTGGGTTGTTTCGGTTTAAATAAGCACAATGTTCGACGTTCTTTGAAATTTTTTTGGAAGGACACTAATACTTTCTACTAGCACCGTTTACATTGAAATATGTAAATTTAGATATAGTTTGAAATACAAAATTTATGAAATATAATATCCCCCATTACGAATTTTCGAACCACTTGTTGTTGAAATAGGCTTATGGTATAAAAAAAAGTTATTTAGTCATCGGAATAGTTCGTTTTTAATTGGATAGTAAAAATTAACTATAGTGATATCTTAAAATGAATCACAATGAAATTCTTATGAAATGGCCTTATGGTATAAAAAAAAGTTATTTTATAATAAGAATAATTAGTTTTTAATTTTCATTTTGTTGTTTCATTTTAATTAGGCACAAAGTTCGAAATTCTTTAGAATTTTTTTAGAAGGACATTAGTACCTTCTACTAGCACCACTTATTACATTCTTATAGTTGAAAATATATAAATTTAGATGTAGTTTGAAATTGTGTGAAATACAAAATTTATGAAATGTAAAATTTATGAAATTTCCAAATGAAGAATATGTTTCTTATCATCTCTGACATTACTACAGTTCGAAATAATATGACTGTGAATATTTATGCATTTATAAGAAATTTAAATTTTCCAAAAAAGTATACAATAGTACTTAATACGCAAAAATATAATTAAAGTAAGATACGAATTATAATATTATATTTAGGGGTTGAAACAGCCCTCTATAAAGCTTCTACATCATTAATTCTATTAATAAAAGTAACAACCTGCACAAAAATTCGCAGTGTAATAATGACTGATAATTTTCGAATAAAATATTCCTGTATTAGAATACAATATAAAAATCTGTGGAGAGACTGTTCAAGCTTTCAAATATACCCTTTCTGTATAAGACTACAAAAATAGATACCACCATTTACATTGAAATATATAAAAGATGTAGTTTGAAATTGTGTAAAATACAAAATTTATGAAATGTAAAATTTATGAAATTTCCAAATGAAGAATATGTTTCGTATCATCTCTGACATTACTACAATTCGAAATAATATGACTGTGAATATTTATGCATTTATAAGAAATTTAAATTTTCCAAAAAAGTATACAATAGTACTTAATACGCAAAAATATAATTAAAGTAAGATACGAATTATAATATTATATTTAGGGGTTGAAACAGCCCTCTATAAAGCTTCTACATCATTAATTCTATTAATAAAAGTAACAACCTGCACAAAAATTCGCAGTGTAATAATGACTGATAATTTTCGAATAAAATATTCCTGTATTAGAATCTATATATATAAAAATAAGTTGTCCTATGTTCGTGATTTTATAACTCGAGAACCACTCAACCGATTTTCAAACGAGTACATGCGTTGGAAAGGTCTACTTTCACTGATGGTTTATAAAAAAAAAACATCCAAAAATTTCTACGAATATGCGTTATACGCGCACTTTTATGATGGTGTGTTTTCCCTATATAAAATGTATTTTTTTTCTTATGCGAATTACATTTTGTCGGTATAAGGCTCTGCTTGCTCGCGTCATTTGACTTATTTAATTTCTGTGGGAAGCCATCGTCTTTATTCATTTTTTGTGAAAATGGCAATACTAAAAATGTCGTTTACCACGAAGCTCTGCAATAAATTTTTTCCTTTTTGATGTTCTCACTTTAAAAAATTTATCTTATTTTGCACTTCTTTTTCAGGAAAATGTTTATTCTTTCTAGAAAATTTAATTTTTAATACAAAGACGTAAACGTATGTTATTGTATTGTCCAGCAACGCGGGCAGGGTTACTCTGGTACAATATAAAATTCTTTGGAGAGATTGTTCAAGCTTTCCAAATATACCTTTCTGTATAAAACTACAAAAATAGATAATTTTTTAAAAACTCTAAATTATAGCACTCTAAG